GAGAGAGAGAGAGGAGCACAGTGGGTGTGGCGTCAGGCCTCGGAGAGGCTTTTATTATCAGAAAATAAACCGGGGATCTGGTGTCCTCGTCGTGCTGCGGGGTTAGTGAAGGTGGGGCATTGTTCGAGAAGAAAGGGTCCAGGTAAGGGGCGGAGTCCGGCGGTCGCACGCGCTCCCCTCTTGGTCCCGGGGCGCGAGGCTTCGTTCAACAGCTTCATCCTTCTCGCTCTGCCCACGGCGCTTGAAGGGACTGGATGGCCCGGCATCCTGGCCCGACGGCCGTGTAACGCGTGCGGGTCCGGTAGCTCACGACTCTGGCGGCACGGGAGTCCCTCTACGCACCCTTTCTGGACCCACGAGGACACCAGCGTGCACGGGGAAGAGACCGGTCTCCCGAGCAGAGGCGCGCTTGGCATTTAAACAGCGGCGGTGAAGAGGCTCCATTCGGTTCAGGTGTGCCCCATCACACGCCGCCAACGCCCCTCCTCTCTCACGCACCCACTCCTGTCGGGAGCCTGGCGAAGGGCAGCGATTAAGGGACTGGGACGGGTTGATGATGATAATAAAGATAATCTGTGCTCTTGGGAACCTTAAGTGCAGCAGAATTTTTTTTGTAACCTTGGCCAGATCTGTGCTTTGCCACAATTCTGTCTCTGAGCTCTTCAGGCAGTTCCTTTGACTTCATGATTCTCATTTGCTCTGACATGCACTGTGAGTTGTAAGGTCTTATATAGACAGGTGTGTGGCTTTGCTAATCAAGTCCAATCAGTATAATCAAATACAGCTGGACTCAAATGAAGGTGTAGAACCTTCTCAAGGATGATCAGAAGAAATGGACAGCACCTGCGTTAAATATATGAGTGTCACAGCAAAGGGTCTGAATACTTAGGACCATGTGATATTTCAGTTTTTCTTTTTTAATAAATCTGCAAAAATGTCAACAATTGTGTTTTTCTGTCAATATGGGGTGCTGTGTGTACATTAATGAGGAAAAAAAAATAACTTAAATGATTTTAGCAAATGGCTGCAATATAACAAAGAGTGAAAAATTTAAGGGGGTCTGAATACTTTCCGTACCCACTGTACATATATTTATATTTCAAATGTATATATTTATGTTTAAAACGTGACAACCTGGCATCTAAAGTACCCTTGTCCTGAGAAAATCCAAGCTTTGTTCAAAATTTACAAACTTAATGGTGACTTATCTTAATGTATGTCAGTGGCTTTACTGTGCTCACTTGTTATCTGATAGCTATTGCAAAAATATGATACTGGAATGTAAGTTTTCATTTTTTCAGACAAATATGCCAAACTCAAGAAGGTTTTGAACTAGGTCTTTTAAACCAACATTGAAAACATGCATTTGCATGTAAAAACATGTGTGATATTTATTACATTTGAGATGAAAGTGTGACAAGTAGCCCCAGTCCTATTACACCGCATCAGATTGAGATTGCGTGAGAATTTATGTTTTTTTTTTTCTCACTCAGTTCTGGGAGGTGATCAGTGATGAACACGGTATTGACCCCACTGGCAGCTACCATGGAGACAGTGACCTGCAGCTGGATCGCATCAGCGTTTACTACAACGAAGCCTCTGGTAGGCACATCACATGGGTTTAGCACAGGGAATGTCAAATGTCTGATACCTGGATTGAGCAATTTAAGAAACTGTTATTATGATCATTAGTTAAGGGGAAAGTTCAGCCTCTCAAATATACTGTATAAATATACTTACATATACAGAATCTCCAAACAAATAACTACAACATACAAACAAACCCTAATGTTTGAGGTGCCTTCTTTGGTTGTCTATTTTCTCAGGGGGAAAGTATGTCCCTCGTGCCATCCTTGTGGATCTAGAGCCAGGAACCATGGACTCTGTCCGCTCTGGTCCTTTTGGGCAGATATTCAGACCTGACAACTTTGTTTTTGGTAAATAAACCGTCCGCTTGCATCTCATTGCATGCAAATACCTATATTTGACGAATGAGTATAGCTATGCAATGATTAAATTCTGAAAGTTCCGAATGTTGAAAATATCTCTGATATGGGTCTTGTATTTTCATGCAGAAATTAAGTTCACACAAAACCCTCAGAGACCAAGGAGCTGATATGCATGATATATATAGACAGATAAATGGGACATGTATTATTTTAATTAGTACCTGTTCACAGACTGTCCCTTGAATTCATCAACATAAGAACAAAAACATATTTACTTGCGTACGTTCCTGTTGTGATTCCGGCAGAGGTTTTGAGCATTTCCTGTTTAAGGTGGCTTATTAGTGAGACCTGGTGTTTAAGGATTATACAGTATGGATTTCAAACACTTTGGCATAATGACGTTTTAAAATATGCAGTATTTAGTTAGTAAGTTTGGGTCATGAAGTGTTACTGGTTTTTGTGTCCTGCTCGTAGGGCAGAGTGGAGCTGGAAATAACTGGGCTAAGGGTCACTACACAGAAGGTGCTGAACTGGTGGACTCGGTGATGGACGTGGTCCGCAAGGAAGCCGAGAGCTGTGACTGTCTGCAGGGATTTCAGCTCACGCATTCACTGGGAGGAGGAACAGGTTCCGGCATGGGAACGCTCCTCATTAGCAAGATCCGCGAGGAGTATCCCGACCGCATCATGAACACCTTCAGCGTGGTGCCATCTCCCAAAGTGTCGGACACGGTGGTGGAGCCCTACAACGCCACGTTGTCCGTTCATCAGCTGGTGGAGAACACGGATGAGACCTACTGCATTGACAACGAGGCCCTGTACGACATCTGCTTCCGCACTCTCAAACTCACCACGCCCACGTATGGTGACCTCAACCATCTCGTCTCGGCCACCATGAGCGGCGTCACCACCTGCCTGAGGTTCCCCGGACAGCTGAACGCCGATCTTCGCAAACTGGCAGTCAACATGGTGCCCTTCCCTCGTTTGCACTTCTTCATGCCTGGCTTCGCTCCTCTCACCAGCAGGGGGAGTCAGCAGTATCGCGCGCTCTCCGTCCCAGAGCTCACCCAGCAGATGTTCGACGCTAAGAACATGATGGCTGCATGCGACCCGCGCCATGGCCGCTACCTGACTGTGGCCGCCATTTTCCGCGGCCGCATGTCAATGAAGGAGGTGGACGAACAGATGCTGAATGTCCAGAACAAGAACAGCAGCTACTTCGTGGAGTGGATCCCCAACAACGTCAAGACCGCCGTCTGCGACATTCCACCTCGTGGTCTCAAAATGTCTGCGACATTCATCGGCAACAGCACTGCCATCCAGGAGCTTTTCAAACGCATTTCGGAGCAATTCACCGCCATGTTTCGCCGCAAGGCCTTCCTGCACTGGTACACCGGCGAGGGCATGGATGAGATGGAGTTCACCGAGGCTGAGAGCAACATGAACGACCTGGTGTCCGAGTACCAGCAGTACCAGGACGCCACCGCAGAGGAGGGAGAATTCGAGGAGGAGGGTGAAGAGGAGGCCACCTGATCACCATCTCTTCCACCTTAACTTCCTCCATTTTTTGATTCATATGCCACATCATCTCAGCCTCCTCTCAGTCCAGTGCTGTTCATTCAAAGTCCATTCAAATGCTTGTGTGATTCTCATTTTAGCTTGTTTCTCATTGTGTTAAAATCACCATGTATTCACTAAATAAAGACATGACAAACCTAAAAAAAAAGACATGACCAACCTTCATTCTGTGTGACTTTAAGAACAAATGTTCTTGAAATAAATGTAACTGAACGTCAGTATTATTTTATTAGTAGTGTTGAAGTAGTAAATTAGTTCTGCTGCACAATACACACTGTCCTGTGTCAGTTCTGATTACAAAAACATTTAAAAGCGGTCGAACAGCACTTGCCAAAACATTTGAAATGGTCAATCAATTTTAAAAAGGCAGGATTTACAGTTCACAGAAGAATTGTAACATGATGCTTCAGTTTGACTTTTAACAGTCAAAGAGTGCCAGGTTAGAAGTAGCTAAACATGTAGCTAATAATTAACAACCGTTTTACGACAGAAATGTTAAACAAGCGACAGTAATAAGCAAAGCATGTAATATTTAACAACCGTTTAATGACAGAAATGATAAACAAGCGACAGTAATAAGCAGAGATGCAAAGTATTCAAACTTTTTGTCAAGTTTAGATGTGAATTGAAAATGGCCTATATCAGGGGTGGCGAACGTCAGTCCTGGAGAGCCTCAGCCCAGCAGAGTTTTGCTTCAACCCTAATCAAACACACCTGAACAAGCTAATCAAGGTCTGAAGGGTTACTTGAAAGCTACAGGCAGGTGAGTTTTAATTAGGGTTGGAGCTGAACTCTGCAGGGCTGCGGCTCTCCAGGACCGGAGTTCGCCACCGCTGGCCTATATGGTTTGCGTAATGTAATTCGTAACTGAATGATGAGACAAGAAACAGGATCCGTTTTCTTGTTTCCAATTCCATAAAATAAATAGACTATGGCAGATTATTGTCAAATAAGAAATAGAGTCACAATTAGTTTAAACTGTGTCACAACTGAAAGAAATTGTGAGATATAAAGTCCCAATAACAAAGACACAATTTTCTCAAAACGGGTCAAAAAACGGGCTTCCACATCAAGTTGAGAAATTAAATTGAGAACGTTCTCTGAATATCATCTATCATCTAGGCCTAGCCATTAAATAACACTGTACTCACATTCAGAAAACCGGACATTTTCTACAACTAAAATGCTGCTCCTCCAGTGAACACTAGAGGGAAACATTTTGCACAAAACAGGTACCAAGAACTGGATGTGCATTCAATGCAATGACAATATTAGTCAAAGGAGCTGTCAGAAGTGTGTGTTTGTGTGAAAGAGTATGTCTGTGTAAATAGGGCAAAGTCACCTGTTTGCTCAGCACATCCATGTTGATCACCCTAAACTAACAGAGACACAGCAAACACATGATTGAGCAATGATGATCAGAGCATAAACACAGAGTGGGAAAGCAGTGACACAATACAGGAAGTCCATTCCAGTGTTTCCTCTAACCGTTTTCAACCATCATTAGGTGAAAGTGTGAGTTTAGCTTATACATTATGAATGAACACACCTTCACATTAGTGACAGACCAGTTAAAAATAATATAAAAGTATAAGAACAACACAGGATAGAACTATATATGAAATAATAAAAGTGCATAAAATGTTACATATAAAAATAAGTGAGCATTTCGAAATTCTACCTTTGAGTCTAATTAAAATTAATACGTTTCTGAAACGATTCAACCTAAAGATTAGACTTGATCTTCTAAAAGGCAAAATATTCTAGTTCTTATTGAGAATATGGGATTATAAAGTGGATATTATAGTGTCACTAGACCGGTAAACGTCATGTAGGCCACACACACACACACACACTCAGATCAGGAAGTGCTGTCTTAAGTTGTGTGCTAGTCGGTGGAATTGGCTGTTTGATGTGAGGATGTGTGTGTGCAGGAGTATGTATGTCGATGCATGTTAATAAAGAATCTAATGACTTTGGTCTGCTGACACCCTGAACACCACCGAATGGGCCCTAACATACAAGTGCATCATGGGCTCCAGGATAAAGTAAGAATCTCTCCGTTTGTCTGTCGATTTTTCTCTGTTTGCTCACTTTGTGGTCTGCTGGTCTACTTCCTCTTCCTCGCTCTGTCGTTCTCGGATGCGAGGCTTTCTATCATGTCACAATTCAATGAATAAACTCAGACACAAAAACAGCAACATTTGGAGAGTTTTGAGTTGACATCTGCAGGAGAACAGATGGAGAGTTTACACACTTTTACTCGCAGAAGCATCACTTCTCCTTTGAAAATACATAGTGTCCTCAAATCTGCTTCACTTCTGACTGTCATTGAATTGGAAAAATATCAGATCAAGTATCTCTATGTGCACTTTTCTTCATCGGTTCTTAAGTCTCAATGTGTTTGAATCAGCTGGTGTTTTGGTGATTTTTAGTGGATGTATGAAGTCAGTTCTCCTCAAGTTCACACAGGTGTGGATAATCACATTAACTATCAACATGTAACCACAAACAGACATCTTCAACACAACATATATTGGTTTCTCATCCCTTGGTAAGGAAAACTAATGAATAAGATCTCTTATAACTCAATTGCAAATGGAGTCAGATTTTTCTCCTGAGAAACAACATCTCAAACTGTGCACCGATCTGCCAAATCCTGTGATTAAACATCTCAATATGAACATTTATCATCACATTCTTGATAGTTTGTCATTTAAAAATCTAATTTGATTGGTTTTAGCAGACAAACATGCTGTTAGGATCATTACATTTGCATAATTGTATTTTAGACAGATGGCCAAACTCATGACTGGAAACATTTTCTGTTGATGCACGTCTTCCAATTTAGTAGTCAACCACATCCTGCTCATGAAGCTCCTTATTAAGATCTTGTGAGAAGAACAGCAGAAAATTATTCAGAGCTGATCACATTCAGTTGCTGGTCATTCTGACAGTGTTTATTTTCCACATCAGTCATGGGTAATATTTTTCTGGTGTGATTTGTTGGTTTTGTTATGATGACTGTTTTGCTCATGGTTTTGTTGTTCTCAGAGAAAACCCTGAAAAAACGTTCTACTGGTTCTTTCAAGCCTCATGTCCAATCGCCAGAGATAAAGGTGGGTACCACACACACACACACACACAGATTGTTGGTCGGATGAAACCTGTCCGTTGGATATTTTTCCATCAAAGCTCTTTAAGATGGTATTCTACATTATTGGCCCTAGTATTTTGTCTATTATTAATGGTAGCCTTGTTTCTGGGGTGGTGTTATCATCATTGAAACATGTTGTTGTGTAGCCTCTTTTAAAAAAGCCAAATTTGGATAAAGCTGTGTTGTCAAATTTTTAGACCTATTTCAAAACTCCCTTTTCTTAGAGAAGATTGTTCTAACTCAATTGCAGAGCTTTTTTGGATCAGAATGCTGTTTATGAGGTTTATCAATCAAGTTTTAAGGCCTACCATAGTACCGAATCTGCACTGTTAAAGGTACTAAATTATATATTATTATCAAGGGACTCAGGACACTTTGTGGTTCTTATGCTGTTAGACCTCAGTGCAGCATTCGACACAATAGACCATGGGATTCTTATCTCCCGTCTTGAGGAGGTGGTTGGCATTCAGGGCTCTGCTCTCGATTGGTTTAGATCATTCCTATCAAATAGGAGTTTTTCTGTCAACATTGGTCAGACTTTTTCATGCTCTGTACCACTGACATGTGGGGTCCCTCAAGGGTCTATTCTCGGCCCTATTTTATTCTCATTATATATTTTACCTTTAGGGTCAATCTTTCATAAACATGGAATTGCTTTCCATGTTTATGCTGATGACACAAAAATGTATATGCCCTTTAAGAACAATGATGGAAATGCCCTTGATTCTTTTATGAAATGTTTCATGGAGGTTAAGACCTAGTTGTCGTCATTTTTTATTTTATTTTAATGAGAGTAAAACAGAGCTTGTCTGGTTTGGGGATCCTGCACTTCCTGATCTGTTAAATTTAGGTGAGCTGACCACTTATTGTAAACCTGTTGTCAAAAACGTAGGGGTTTTGTTTGATAATGATCTGAAATTTGATAAACAGATTAACTCAGTCGTTAAATCAAGTTTCTTTCACTTACGACTGTTGGCAAAGGTTAAGTCATTTCTCTCTTTTAGCGATCTTGAGAAGGCGATGCGTTTATCATGGTGATACTTGATTATTGTAATTATTTGTATGTGGGTGTCTTCCAATCTGCTTTAAATAGACTAAAATTCATTCAGAATGCGGCTGCGAGGCTCTTGACAGGAATTCGTAAGCGGGAGCATATATCTCCTATTCTGTCTTCACTGGGCTGGTTGCCAGTCAAGTTTAGGATTGATTTTAAATGATTGTTTTTTGTTTATAAGCCTCTAAATGGGTTGGCACCATCTTATTTGTCGGATCTTTTACAGGTGTACAAGCCCTTTAGGTCTTTAAGATCTTCTGATCGATCTGTTTTAATTGTACTGAAGACTAGGTATAAGCGAAGGGGCGATCGGGCCTTTGCAGTCGCCGCTCCAAAGCATTGGAATAGGCTTCCGCCTCATATTAGACATGCTCCAACTTTAAATGTTTTTAAGTATCGCCTAAGGTCTCACCTTCTATCCTTAGCGTTTGGGCCAGCAGAGTGTTGAGGTATTGTTTTAGTTATGTTTTAGCTGTCCTGTTTGTGTGTTATGGTGTGTAAATGTGTTTTTAAACGGTGTTGATTTTGTACAGCACTTTGGTCAACGCTTTGTTGTATTAAAATGTGCTATATAAACTAAATAACTAACTAACTGATGCAATTAACACACACTCACAAACTGTCTCTTCTGAGAATGGCTCTTCCTGTCACATGACTGAACCAGAAAAACCACACAGCAGGGCAGATACATGCTCATCAGAATGAGAAAAGTCTGAGGAACTAGTTAGTATGCTGTTATCTGCTAACGGGTGAAAGGAAGCACACTGGTTGTCTAAAAAGAGATGGGACTGCCAGGGTTGGACCAGGTCTATAAGGCCTGGCTGTATAGAACCAGACTGGTTACCCTGCGTGTCTATCTTTGACCTGACTTTAACCACATCCTCTATAGTTGAGTTGTCAGTTGACAGAGTGTGTGTGTTTTTCTATTCGAGTAGATCCTGATGTGCCGTTTCAGTTCCCTGAAGACTTTAATGATGAGGTTAGTACTTGAGGATCACTGTGGTTCTTTCCTTCTGTTTTTATGTATTTATTTATTTCTTTGTATTTACTTAAAAGAAAAGAAAAAAAAAATTATATATATATCAAAATGAATGAAAACACTGCATAAATAAATGATTGCATGAATAAATAGATGCACAAATAAATAAAGCCTCTGCTTACCATGATGTTTTGCATAATGTTTGCAAGTTTTAAGAATTAGGGAAAATTATAATAAATAAAATCCACTGCACAAATAAATAACCATGAATAAATGCATAAAAAAATAAATCAAGTCTCTGTTAAACAATGCAATAGCTAGTTTTGACGAATTAGGGAAAATTCTAAATAGGGTACAAAGGGGCTAAAGGCCCACCTTAAGAAAAAAAATGTGCCTTCACTGCGCCTAAAATGTATAATTGTAGAAAAAATATATACGTTGTATTGAACATTAATGGAGCAACTGATTTTGTGTGAACATAAATCATTCAAGTTGTTTATTTTGTTTACAAATCTTATAAATGTATGAGGTGGCAAGAGGGGCCTTTTAGCCCACACACGGTATTGATACAAATGCTTCAGCTAAAATAATGTTTTGTTTTTAAATAATGTCTAAGTTACTACTTGTTCAAAACAATCACTTTAGCAAAGTTTGTACTATGTTCTGCCTATTTTGAAAAATAAAATAATATTTTTTTTCAATAAATATACTGTCAATAAAATGTTAATATAAAAATATATATTTTAAAATACAGAAACAAAATCGTTTTAATATGTAAAGATTCTGAAAGTATTGAAGGAGATCCAATAATAATTGAATATATATTTACAGTAGTAACAACAAATTATATTTTATTATATGATATTAATATCATGTTTTTTTTAAATATGATGGTTTCATTCTCTAATACGGACACCCAACATAATATATGATATTTACCATCTGAACCTACCCATGTCATGTCAACAAATGGAAAAGTCAGGCATCTATTAATTATCATGTTAATTACTGTGCGCCTTTAGCCCCAACAGCAGGGGTGCTTTTTACCCCAAATACCATACTTTTACATATTCTTTCGTTATTTAAAAACTGTTGCTTTAATTATCTTAAGCAAAACTGAAAATCATGGAGAAAACCTTTGTCTCAAAACATATGCATTCATTTTTAGCAATTCTCATTTGCTACTTAAATCTACAACATTTAAAAAAAACATAAAATATTAGATCAAGTAAGCACAGAATCAACTTTGCACTGCTGCATGCGATCGCGACAAGGATCAGACAAATATACACGTGCATCTTGAAAAGTGGATGTTTCGGAAAGTGCCACGCCACGTTTTTGTGCCGTCTAGTGGTTTAGATGAAAATAATATTAAAGGCGCCTTTTAACCCGGGGTGCCTTTAGACCCGTTGTACCCTAATACATTCATAAATAAGATTCCTAGTCTGATTCATTTGAGATGTTATATTTTAAAGATTTATTTTAAAGAAAAAAAGTTTCATCTTTCATCAAAATATAATCACTTTTTCCACTTCTGCAACAACTTTGCTTATTCGGCTACAGCACTAACGTCAATCAACTGTCAAATAATATTACTCCATAGAACAGTCTCACGGCATTGTTTTAGCCTTTATAAACTGCTGCCAACAGTGAAAACATGCATATTGACAAAAAATTATAGAATTTATGACAACAATAGAAAATAAGGGCTGATTTGAAACAGAATCATTACCACTGGAGAAGCCCTGAATGGTGAATCTGACCTTCAGTCTCCACGTTCATGGCAAAAAGTCTTCTTAGAAGTGTTTGCCTGTGGTGTCCACAATCCAAAACTCACATCCTGGTATAAAACACCCACTTTTCATCATCCAGTTCAGTCTTGATGGATTCTGAAATATGTTACAGTATGCAAGTAAAATGAGATTTCAATTCAAAGGAATATTTGAACAGATATTGAATTTAAAACTATTTATCAGTGGGTGCACTCTTAAAAATAAAGGTTCTTTATTGGCATCGATGGTTCCATGAAGAACCTTTAACATCCATGCAATCTTATTCTTTATAGTGAAACAAGATTTTTACAGTGTTCTTCAAGCTAAGATTTTTTTTTTCTCTTAACGACTGTTCAATGAAAGGTTCTTTGGGAAACCAAAAATTGTTCTTTTATTGCATTGCTGTGAAAAGCTTGTTTTGGAACCTTTATTTGATTGTGTTTCTTCTATTCTCACACAGGAGGCTCTGCAGTCCTTGCCTCGCTTCTGCTTCCCTTACGACATAGAGAGGTGAAAATCCTTCATTCATTATTAAAGATGGATGCTCAAGCCTTCTTACCTTTTATGACTGATAAACTGAGGCTCGTCGGTTGGTTGACAGGGTGAAGGACACTGTTGCCGTGCAGCACTTCACATTCGTCTTGACCGATCTGGAAGGATGCCAGCGCTTCGGTTTCTGCAGACTCACGTCCAGCTCTCAGACCTGCTTGTGCATCCTCAGGTCTCAAACGCACAAAATACACTCAAAAACAAATGTCTCATTTGTGAAGCCCATTTGATTGATTAACAGTTTGCTTCTCATGGCCACAATCACTTTCATTTTTAGTTTTCAGGTCATAAGGTGTAAGTTATAACCTGATTTTACGTTTTAATAGTTAGTTCTAACTACACAGAAGACAAAACCCTTAGCACAGTTGTTTGACCTGACTAAAGTGTGATTTCTCTCTCAACACAGTTATTTGCCCTGGTTTGAGGTCTTCTACAAACTTCTGAATAATCTGGCTGACTACTCAACGAAAGGACAGGTATGATTTTAACGGTCTCCTGATGATTTTCCACATTTATAAAGCCATTTATCTAACACCATTTTATTCATTTGAATGCCCGGCCAGACCAACGAGATGAAAGAGCTGCTGTCGGTTCTCTACAAGCACCCCGTGCCTCCGGCCAATGGCTCCATCACAGTGCAGATGGTAAGTGCTCATTGGCTGGTGGAGGTTCCGTTTATGACATCACATGTGACATCACAATCAGGTTGGTGTGTTCTTCACTGAGGGAGGGAAGCTAATGATTGGAAGTGAGATGCCTGGCATCTGTGGACACGCCCCTAAAGGGGAGGAGTCAGAGGGGGTGAGTCCCTGATCCGTATTAAAACCGGCCGACCAGAATAAACCTTCATTCCAGCGTCTAATAAATCCTAATACAATCCATAATGTGAAATCAAACTAATCCAGCATCCACAACTAACCCTGGATCTCTAACAACGCTTAACTAAAAAACTAATGGGTCCTTGAATCTAAAAACGTAGGCAGACTAACTCGAAGGCCTTACTTTCATGGTACTGACTGTTTCTTTTTGTGGAATAATGTTTCTCTCCATCAGATCCCGTACTTTATCGCACCAGATCCCAAAGCCTTGCCCTCTATTCCAGAGAGTGTGAGTTCTTAATTTGTTTTCCATTTAGGTTTTTTAATGTGTGGGTTATAATTTATTTCTGTTTTATCCCTTGGTTCTTATACACTACTGGTCCAAAAAATAAATACATAAATAAATAATAATAATATGAAATAAATAAATAAAGATTTTTAAATTGGCTGCATTTATATAATTAAACATATATATATATATATATATACACAGTATATCTCTTTGAAGGGCAGAGCCCTTGAAGTGTGTTCTTTGAGTGTCACATGATCCTTTAGAAATTATTCTAATATCACGGTTTCCACAAAAATATAAAGCAGCACAACTGTTTTCAACACTGATAATAATTAGAAATGTTTCTTGAGCAGCAAATCAGCATATTAGAATGATTTCTGAAGATCATGTGACCCTGAAGACTGGAGTAATGATGCTGAAAATTCAGCTTTGATCACAGAAATACATTACATTAGAAAATATATTCACAAAAAAAAAAAACCCTGACATTTTAAGCTGTCAATATTTCACAATATTTGTATTTAATTTTTTTTATTATTTATTTATTTTTATCAAATAAATGCAGCCTTGGTGAGCGGAGGAGAGTTCTTTTTTTTTCAAACATTTGAGCAGTATGAATGTCTGTCTGTGTATCAGAGGAACCTGACGGAGCTGGTGGTGGCGGTGGACGTGGGTAACCTGTTGCAGCTCTTCGCCAGCATGTTGTTCGAGAGGCGGATCCTCATTTACTGCAGCAAACTCAGCACTGTGAGTTAAATCTGCGACAGCCTTTGTGAATCAAAGCTGATAACACTTAGTTCACAAGGCTACTACAACAGTGGCATGGCGCTAGCAACACCAAAGTCATGGGTTCGATTCCCAAGGGAATGCATGTACTGAAAGGCATACCTTGAATATAGTATAGTTCACTTTGGATAAAAACGCATCATTCCAGTCTCTGAAAAGTGTCCATTTAAAAACAACTATTTCAAGTGCTTTATGCTACAACCAGCACATTACACGTCATTACCTTGATGACCATTTGGGAATTGCATACGAACTGTGTGTGAATGCACACAGTGAATGGTGCAGCATTTCGCACCAACCAAACAAACTGAACATTTTCAAATTAATTTGGTTCCTCATCAGAAACCCTACTGTGAAAACGCCTTAACGCCTAACCAGGAGTGACATAATGAATCTATACGCGAGAAATCACAGTTTGTGTCCCAACCAGCTGCAGCACATTGTTTGGTTTCGTATTCACTCACTTCACTTAAAAAAAAAATTTCCACTTTCACTGAGGGCAGATCACTAGTCAATATTGTGTTGCATTGAGTCAGAGTGCAGCTCCATTAAACATGCACCAAACAGCAATTAATAGTTTTATTTGTGTGTGTTTAGTTAACGGCCTGCATACACGCGTGTAATGGGATGCTGTACCCAATGTACTGGCAGCACATCTTCATTCCAGTGCTGCCGCCTCATCTGCTGGACTACTGCTGGTGAGACACACACACACACACACACACACACACACACACACCCACCCACCCCAGCAGCAATTAATTGATATAGCACATTTAAAAGAACAGAAGTTGAAGGGCTGCACATTTTAGAAAAACAAATAAGCTGTTGCAGTGGTATCAGTACCAGGGGCCTCAGAAAAACATGAATTAAAATAATTTCAATAATTCATATTATTAGTAATACATTAAAAACTAACTTAATTAAAGTGATATACACACATGAAATCAAGAAGTTAAATTCTGAAATTATGTTTCACTCTCTTTATTTATTTATTTATTCATTTATTTGTTTATTTTAATAAATTATTATTTATTATGCTTAAAAATGGGGGCCTTTAAATTAAAACGGTTCAAAACCAGTGGTCATTTATTTATATAAATACGAATAAAAAAAATAGAAAATAAAAAAAAGACAAGCAGCAACCTGTGTGAACCAGTACTGTTAAAATTTGGTTGAGCAAAATTGAAGTTGAATTTGGTTTACTAAAACTTTTTGGTTTGGCCACTAATAAAAATTATTAATGATATTACTGTTAATGCATTTTAAATTAAAGTGCTAAATTAAAAGTCATAAGTTTTTTAATTATTTTTTATTCATTAATAATAATTAAATTTTTTTTCCTCATTAATGTACACACAGCACCCCATATTGACAGAAAAACACAGAATTGTTGACATTTTTGCAGATTTATTAAAAAAGAAAAACTGAAATATCACATGGTCCTAAGTATTCAGACCCTTTGCTGTGACACTCATATATTTAACTCAGGTGCTTTAATAAAAATTAAAGACTACTTACTATTAAAAAAACATATACATTTAATATATACATATACAACATCAACCTCACGAGTATCAAAAGGTAGAAAATATTTAAAAAAGGTATTTAGGTCAGTGAACGCTGTGTGAACACAGCAAAGTGTGTAAACGCTGCCTAAATTCACTCATTTCATTTTTTAGCGCACCAATGCCGTACCTTATTGGAATTCACTCCAGCCTGGCAGAGGTACGACGCTTCCCTCTTCCCATGGTTTTCTTTCACACCAGCCCTTGGTCACACAAACACTCACATTACAGTTCTTTCTGTGTGTTTGTGTGTGGTAGAGAGTGAGGAGTCGAGCTCTGGAGGACGTGGTCATACTGAACGTGGACACCAACACCCTGGAGTCACCCCACGAGGACCTGAAAAAGATTCCGGCTGACGTGGTGAGACTCTTTTCCTCCTCGCAGATCTCTGACACACAAAGGATGAAGGTTTATGGTGAACTCTGTTGCTGCAGGTGGCGGGACTGAAGGTCAGGCTGAAGAGACAGGCGGCGTCGGCCGGGTCAGGGGTAGCGCACGCTTTCCTCCGAGCGCAGACTCTGCTGTTCGGAGGATACAGAGACGCCTTACAGTCGCCTGCCGTGAGTGACACACATCCACATAAAAACGTTACCTTGAGTTTTATAAATGCTTACTGCAGTGCTCCTGTCTCGTATGCTGAAGGAAGGGCCGGTCGTGTTCTCCAATGAGTTGTTTCTGAGTCATAAGTCTCAAAGCATGCGGGAGTTTCTGGAGAGCGCGGTTCACCTGCAGTGTTTCAAAGAGGTAACTGCAAACACACAGCCACAACATCGGCAGTTTTCTTGAGGCAAGACACTGCAGGCCATTGTTGTTTCATGCAATGTCAATGTTGAGGGCTGTTTTGCTTCAATAGCAATGTCTTCTTACAGACTAGTGGGGGAAATAAATCCTAAATACATATTTACTTTTTCTGTTTGCATATGCAGATTTAAAGTAAAGTACATATATTTTCTGTTATCTGTTTTCTGAAAACATCACTGGCTGTTTTCTCAAAATGAGTCAGAAACATAGTCCTAAAAACATAGTGAATTTTTGACTTTTTAAAACGTTATTAAAAGAGATATGGAAAATCCCCTTTGTAAAATCCTTTAATATGTCAACGAAACTAAACAAGAATTGTGAGCCTGGATTTATTGAATGTTCATATTTCTGTTCTGGAAATATATGCAAATTAGCACATTAAATGAGTGCCTTATTGATATATTTAAACTAGTGCTGTCAATCGATTAATCGCGATTAATCGCATCCAAAATAAAAGATTGTGTTTACACAATATATGTGTGTGTACTGTGTATATTTATTATGTATATATAAATATGCACACATGCATGTATATATTTAAGAATTTTTTTTGGTTTATATATAAAATACTTATATTTATATATATAATATAAATTATATATGAATATAAATATATACATGTAAATATTTTTTTAATATATACAAATGTATGTTTGTGTATTTATATATACATAATAAATATACACAGTACACACACGTATATTATGTCAACAAAAACTTTTATTTTGGTTGTAATTAATCGCGATTAATCGTTTGACAGCACTAGTTTAAACATTCCAGAAGACTTGCAATACAATTGTCTAAATGTACTGTGATTGATTAACTGGAGAAGTATGGTGAAATATATTAGTTAATTCCACATATCTTTTGGAAGAGTACAACCAAAAATCATTTACTCACCCTCATGTCGTTCCAAACCCATATGACTTCCAATTTCCTGTGGAGCTTTTTTTCCGTGGAGATGTTTTGAAGAATGTTCAATGCTGCTCTTTTGCTCTGAACGAGCTTGTTGGGCTGCAAATCTAGCACCATAAAAGCTTTAAAACTCTCCCAAATGTACTTTAAGTCTTCTGAAGTCTTACGATCGCTTGTGTGAAGAAAGCATTGGCAACTTGAGCATCTACATATTCCAGTTTCACATGGTTACAAAGTACACATCAAACCAATGGTGTTTGGTGTTGTCCCAATCTTGAATATGCAGAAGAGCAAAAGGCATTTGAATTTTACAATGGAGGTAATCCATAGTATCTTCCATTATAATCTCATTTTGTTCTCAGTTTATTGACGGCCGGCTGAAAATGCTGAACCAGGGCAAAGAGCCGGATGATGTGTTTGAGGAGGAGGTGCTTCATTGTGGAGCTTCATCTGGTGCGTGTTAACGTTCATCACAGAAACATACTTGTTTGTTCGTTTGCTCATTTTAACATCCCTTCTGCTCGTGATTCCTCTCAGGTAGCTCTAAATTGCGTCGGCAATGGGTGGGAAACTTAAAGGTACGTTTTACACGTACAGGAACTATAAACAAGACGCAACTCTGGTAGACAACCATACTACTCTTACCACATCTGCAGTATGCATACAGTGCACACTATTTTCAGCATACACAGATTACAAATATGATCTACAGTAATGTTCAGTTTACAGCAGAGCACACTTTACCTTTCATTTCTGCTCTGACAAATAAACTAGAATTAGATTAGACTGCCAAAAGTTGCTTTTATACAAAATTGGATTAAAAAAAGCCACTTTCTCTTCCCACAGAAAGGGGGTGGAGCCCTGATCGTGACATGGAAGTCTACAGCTAACAAAGCAGTGAGTATTTATACACTGCTGTTCAAAAGTTGTTTTTGATGAAAAAATTGTTTTTGAAATAAGTCTCTTCTGCTCACCAAGGCTGCAGTTCTTTGATCAAAAATACAGTAAAATAACATGAACTATTTTCTATGTAATTATATGTTAAAATGCATTTCATTGCTGTGATCAAAGCTGAATTTTCGGCATCATTACAGAAATCCTTCAGAAATCCTTTTAATTGGCTGATTTGCTACTCATGTTGAAAACAGTTGTGCTGCCGAATATTTTTGTGGAAATCATGATACATTTTATTTTTTCAGGATTCTTTGATAAAGTTAAAAAGAACATTTAATTTAAGTATAAATCTTTTGTGACATTATAAATGTCAATTACTGTCAATTTTGGTAAATTGAATGCATCATAAAAGTACTAATTTCTGAAAAAAAACATTTGAAGGGTAGTTTATGTTTATCATGTTATTTTAAAATGTGCTGTTGTGCATTATTAAATATTACATATTCTCCATATGGTTTCCATTTTTCAGACCAAATATCATAGCAAATTTGGGCTGAAAAACCTCCTGTCATCAAAGGTGAGCTTATATTCCTTAAACTGCATATGGTTCCTCTTTGTGTGCAAAATATGTGGTTTGTGTGTTTAAATTCAATTTTTGGATTTTCCCCCTTTCAGGACCAAACGGAACCTCATATGCTACAGAGGGGCGGGTCTGTGTGTGGAACGCACACGTATCGCCTCATCCAATCGGATTGCCTTCAGAACCGTCTACCAATCACACAGCACTTTGGCAGGGTGAGTGACACCTGAAGGCATCCAAACTAAACTACACAAAGATGATGTTATAAAGCTAAATATACTGTTCATTATCAGTCAAAAGTTTGGGGGTCTCTTCTGCTCAACAAGGCTGCATTTATTTGATCCAAAATACAGTAAAATCAGCAATATTGTGGAATATTAAAATAACTGTTTTCTATGTGAATATACTGTAAAATGTAATTTATTCCTGTGATGCAAAGCTGAATTTTCAGCATAATTACGTCAGTCTTCAGCGTCACATGATCCTTCAGAAATCATTCTAATACACTCTTAAAAATAAAGGTGCTTCACGATGCCATAGAAGAACCTTTTTGTCTAAATGGTTCCATAAAGAACCTTTAACATCTGAAGAACCTTTCTGTTTCACAAAAGGCTCTTTGTGGCGAAATAAGGTTCTTCAGATTATAAAAAGGTAAGAAAGAGATGGTTCTTTAAAAAACCTTTGACTGAATGCTTCTTTGTGGAACCAAAAATTCTTCTATGGCATCACTTGAAGAACCTTTTGAAGCACATTTATTTTTAAGAGTGTATGCTACTAAATTTACTACTCAAGAAACATTTCTGCTTATTATCAATGTTGAAAACAGATGTGCTGCCGGATATTTTTGTGGAAACTGATACATTTTCTTTTTCTTTGATGACTAAAAAGTTCAAAAGAACAGCAATTATTTGAAATAGAAATCGTTTGTAACATTGTAAGTGTCTTTACGGTCACTTTTGATCAGATTAATGCATCCTTGTTGAATAAAATGATTAATTTCTCTTCTTTATTAATCTTACTAATGTATCGAATACTAGACTAATGTGTATGATTCCTGGCTCTTCTTGTGTTCAACTACAGTACAGCACATGCACTTAACTTTTTTTAATATGGTTTGTTTGTTTTTCTACACTTTCTATGCTGCTTTGTTTCTCAGTCTCGACCACAGCGGCCAACACACAAGAGTGACAGGCACCAGGACAATGAGCAACAGACAGAGGACGACAACACCAGCTATGAAGACAGGTGAGATGAGAGGACACAGATGTACGGACGCTTTGCCGTTTTATGTATGTTTTACAATGCATTTCCCTTTCCAGTGTAACAGAAGGTCCTGAGCAGTGCTCTGCCACCAGCGACTTACAGGAAGACGATGATCTTTCTCTGTTGGCCGACCCAGAGGAGATGGACCTGCTCGGAGAGATCTTCGACACGCTGAGTGCCCAGAGCTCCAGAGAGCCGGGTTTACTGTACAGCACACGTAGCCTCGACCTCTTCAGCTCCGACAGCAGTGAATTCATCTCGCATGTAAGGCCTAGATCCTCCCACACATTACATCTAAACTGTGCAGGACGGGGCGTCTGACATAACCTGCAACAAACAGCTGCATTCAGTCTTAAGAGCACATTTTAAGTCTTTAACACTGGCATCACAGTCAGAAGATTTAGTCCTGTATGGTATTCATATGGTGAACTGAGAAAATAAAATGGCTTTGCTGCATGAAAACAACATGAACAAGAAAGGCTTCACAAATTAAGTGATTTAGTGTTGGGTCAGCCTTACCTTTCTGCTGTTGACTTTTAAAAACTTGACATGTTGCAGAAATAGTCCAGCACCAGGAAACTGTTGGTGGGAAAATTTCACACAAGCTCACCCTTTCATTTCTTTTTCAGAGGAGTCTGACTAACCCAAGTCAGGAGAGTCTAAGCCCCTCTTTTGGAAACAGCGGCAGTCTCATGAGCTGGGAGGAGGAGCTAGAGGAGGGGCCTGGTGGTGAGGGGGAGGAGCCTGCTGTCCTGACTGACAGGCCAGAAAATGAGCTTAATGAATTAGAGAAGGACTTGACCGAGCTAGGGGTAAATCTGTGTTCAGATCTACAAGTTCTAGAAGATGCTTCACTGGATCCCAAAGTGGGTTCTCAAGAGGTGCAAGAGGAGAACTGGTCGAAAAATGATGGACAAATGAACGGAACAATGGAGGAAAGCTTGGAAACCGAGACAGTACTTGAAGAGAGTACAGAGATGCAATCTGACAAAGAAGAAGAACTTCAGAAAGAGCATAAGATGACAAATGACTTGGGCTCAAAGGGACCTACAAATGAAGGAATCACCTCAGCTGTTTCTCTCAATGTAAAGATAGACACAAGAGAAGAGCCAGATAAGAAGAGCATTGAACCTCCATCACCGAACGTCTTGTCTAGCGTAGCTCTGTTCCAGTCCAAGTCCTTGACTGACTCTTCTGGTTCCCGAGGGTGGGATAAATCTCTAAAATCTCCTATCAGCACCCACAAAATCAATGTGACGGGGCTGCAGACTGAAGAACAAAGTACGAAATCACCCATTTCATCAACTTCAGAAGAACAAACCCAGGCCCACATTAAGGTCTCAGAGCTGAAGAAGAGATTTGAACATTAGACCATCATAAATCAAGCATATTGAAGCAAAACAATACTCAAGAACTAAAAATGACTTGTTTTAGATTGTCAATTACAAGTCTACATGAAACAACACTTGCCCCCCATTTTGAATCTTGTGAAGCAACATTGCTGAGTCAAAGGAGATAAAATTATCCATTGGGTTTTTATTGGATTGTGGAAGGTTGGCGTTCCATACTGAACTTTGTGTTTGTGGAAGGATATTTTTCTCATGTATATGTTGGTTAAAACTCAACACTGACATCAGTCAATAAAGTCGATTCAAAGGCAGTGCAAGTATTACAATTTTTATTATATATTATTTTTGGAATAATGTACCCTGAACGTGCATTAAAGTAAATCAAGTCGATTTTAACTTTCGCTGTAACTAAATACAGCATGTTATCAAATTGAACTGATAAAACCACCAATTCTGACCAATAAAGAAAGTCTACCCTTTTTATCCAAATATCTTTAATCATTTATAAAAAGCTTATCAGAGAGTGCAAAGCAAACATTGCCACAGTCAAAACCAAAAACTCTTAAATGACACACTTTGAACAGGTCACAACACCGAGGACAAGGCTGTTTACTCACAGATTCATTTTAATTAATCATCCACAGTTACACAGTCACTTCGTCACATTATGATCATTCCTAATATTGATGTGTTACAGACATTACAGAAATGCAAACCTAATACAAAACAACATTTGGCAAAGCACAATATAGATTTATCTCTCTTCCTTTGAAAAAACTGCAACACAATGTTCGCTTTTGGACATTTAAAATATTCAATATTATAATGGTAAACTCTTTTGGAGGTAAAGCTGCCATGTCTCCTTAACAAAGACTCTCAGGTGAGTAAACTTAATTATACAGATGAAGTAAACAAAGTCAAACTGGTTTGGCCATCTATCTAAATCATCTGGTTTCTTTTCTTATGACAAATGCACTTGGCAGTGTCTTCAGATGTCCCAAGAGTGACAGCAAAACATCGTTAGGCATACTTGAATTGATTTATCGACTTTAATAGTGCATTATGAAATGAAAGCATTCTCACATCTCAGTCAAAGGCGTCAAATAAATACCCACCACCACTTCAAACGTTCTCCATCCATGACCCTCCACTTGTTTGTCAGGACTGCACCTGTGCGTGGACTCCACATAAATATCAATATGACGTTAGCATGAAAGTTCTGTTTAGGTTTACCTAATCAACCTAAACTGGTGTGGTTTCCGCATCTTTTCTGAGGGCTGCATTCAGATCAGTCTCTCCTCTTTGGGCAGTGGAAGAGTGAGACCGGGTCTCTCAGCGCCGTGGTTCTTGGCTTGTTTCCGCTCTTCCGAGCTGGGCTGGTATGATCCCTCCATCTGCCGCCTCTTACGAAGGACACACGAGAACAGAACCAGGGCCAGAGCCAGAAGGAACAACACCGGCATGCACAGGCCCAATGCATTCACCGAACTCATGATGCTCCACACACACACTTGTGAAAACAAACACAGACTGAGAATATCTGTGTAACAGTGTTCTAAGGGTGTGTCCGTTCAAGAGAGGCAATGTACCTGGTTAGTAGTGACCACACAGTGATCCTTTTCATCCACAGTCATCCTTTTACATTTTGGAAGGGAAATTTAACCAAGTGGATGAGGAAGATAAAAGCAAGACGTGAATTCCTACAGTACACAAACACATTCAGAGATGAGAGAATCATTTCAAATGAGTCTTCTGTTCGGCTGTGGACTGATAGAGTTAATTATTAGTCTGGGAGAACAACACTGACCTACAACTACAAGGACATCCACAAAAACACTTTGAACTGAACTGAGTTTCAGTAAATGAATTATACTGGTGTCTTTACGTCAAACTGAACTATTGACTTTGAAAGACCTGGAATACAGCTCATGATGTTACGGACTAATGTGCTTGTGTCCTTTTGAAGCTTGAAACCTTCAGTGCCCATTCATTTAAAAAAAATACAATTCTTCAAAAATAAGTCACAGACAGAATTTGAAGTGTTAAATTTTCATCTAAAATTTGCATTTTTATCAGGCTCCTATATTTACGTTTAATTGTTTCACTTTAATGGCATAGAAAAGGACCTATATATTGCCATTAAAGTAAAATGACTGAACATACGCATAGGAGCCTGATAAAAAAATGCTCATTTTAGAAGAAAATTTCACTTGGAGGCTTTTGCGTCTGAACTCTTTATTTACATTTTGGGTAAACACACGTTTAATACATGCAGAATAAAATACACCATAAAACATTTGGTCGCTATCAAAATGGTAATACTATTTATATATTTGTTTTAATACACTATCAGTCAAAGTGTAGGTGTTAAACTAGAAGCTATATTGATTTTTCCCCCTTCACATTTTATGAGAGAAAACAAAGTCAACAATTCAACAAAACTATTAAATAACAACAATTTAAGTACTGTATAATGACCACAAATGGTGTTTTTCGAAACTTTAAAAAGTAAATCCTGGCGAATTCATACACAGGCACACTTTATATTAATCTACAAAACTAATATCTAACATTTCACAATTAACTATTTAAGATTATGAGAAACAAAGGTTAAGTTCAGACATAAACTTACCTCACAGTCATATTACATCCCTTGGTATTCAATACACTGCCCTATATTAAAGTACCTGATACCCGCTTTTATAAGGGACTTTTGTTACTAATGATCTATTCTTCACAAATTATTTGACTTCCGAGCTTAATAATTACAGTTTTCTGGAGAGACTGTTTTAAGCATACAGCGGTTGGGTTGAGGTGAGGTTGAGGTGAGCTTTATCTGAGGTGAGTCAGTCAGCCAGTCACGGAATGCCGGTGGCGGAGCCGGTTTAACGAGCTGTTCAACACACCCAGAGACGAACAAATATCCGACTGAAAGAGAAACGTAGCTCACCTGAGAAACTGCTATGATATCCGCGGAGGAACCGCTGTTGTTGTTGTTATTTTGAATCCTAAACGATCAAGACCTCCTCGTCCAAGCGCAGAGCGTGAAGCCTCGTTAACCCCGCGCGTTCATTAGGGCATCTCTCTAACCTGCGGCCGGAAGCGCGTCAGCTCCTCTACCTGTTCCACTCCCGAAACTCGAGTGAAACGCGCTCAAGAACATCAACGCCCCCCTTTGTTGAGTTTTTTGAGTCTGAAGTATGAGTTCCACTGTTAGATAGGTAGTAATAATAATAATAATAAAAAATGTGTACATTAAATATTTTGGTAAATAAAAATGAGGTGAGCTTTATCTGAGGTGAGTCAGTCAGCCAGTCACGGAATGCCGGTGGCGGAGCCGGTTTAACGAGCTGTTCAACACACCCAGAGACGAACAAATATCCGACTGAAAGAGAAACGTAGCTCACCTGAGAAACTGCTATGATATCCGCGGAGGAACCGCTGTTGTTGTTGTTATTTTGAATCCTAAACGATCAAGACCTCCTCGTCCAAGCGCAGAGCGTGAAGCCTCGTTAACCCCGCGCGTTCATTAGGGCATCTCTCTAACCTGCGGCCGGAAGCGCGTCAGCTCCTCTACCTGTTCCACTCCCGAAACTCGAGTGAAACGCGCTCAAGAACATCAACGCCCCCCTTTGTTGAGTTTTTTGAGTCTGAAGTATGAGTTCCACTGTTAGATAGGTAGTAATAATAATAATAATAAAAAATGTGTACATTAAATATTTTGGTAAATAAACTTAAGCCAACTTTAATTTAAAATAAAAATGGCTAATGTATAGGACATTTTTATTATGTTTAAATTGCTTGTTTGATTGGCATGCACATGTTAAAGTCGGCATGAAACAGAAGTTGCAATTGTCTTTTCTTCTTTGCTGTGAAGTATGTCGCATCTGAAATGAGAGGGCGGGACTTGATTTCTTCCTTCGGGAATTGATTGGATCATTGGAAGTTGGGGCGTTGCTAACAAAATGGAGACCGATCTGAATGCCAGTTTGCTGGTAGTGGTGGGGGATTTCTCTCCACGGTTTGTGGGGCAAAAGAGGGGAGAGGGGGCAAGGTCTGGAGGGAGTTCAGTTTCCTGACAGCCTGATGGATGAAGCTGTCCTTCAGTCTGCTGGTCCTGGCCTGGAGACTCCACAGTCTCCTCCCTGATGGCAGCAGTCTAAAGAAGCTGTGTGACGGGTGGGTGGGATCACCTGCAATATAGAGGGCTTTGCGGGTGAGACGGGTGTTGTAAATATCCTGGAGGGAGGGGAGAGAGGCACCAACGATCTTCTCAGCTGCTCTCACTATGCGTTGAAGTGTTTTGCGGCAGGACGCGATACAGGTACCATACCACACAGTGATGCAGCTCGTCAGAATGCTCTCGATAGTGCCTCTGTAGAAGGTGCACATGATGGGGACCGGGGCTCTGGCTCTTCTCAGTTTGCGGAGGAAGTAGAGACGCTGTCGTGCTTTCTTGGCCAGTGCTGCGGTGTTGTCAGCCCAGGAGAGGTCCTCTGTGATGTGCACACCCAGGAACTTGGTGATGGTCAGAGAAACATGTTGAGTGTGCACTCTCCTGAAGTCCGCAAACTTAATAAGGAGGTTGGAGTTGTGTGACGGTGTGGAGTCGTGCATCAGCAGAGTGAAGAGGAGGGGGCTCAGCACACATCCTTGGGGGGCCCCAGTGTTCAGTGTGATGGTGCTGGATGTGTTGCTGCCGACCCGTCCTGCCTGAGGTCTTCCAGTCAGGATGTCCAACAGCCAGTTGCACAGCGAACTGTTGAGCCACAGCTGGACCAGTTTATGAATGAGCTGTTGAGGGATGATTGTGTTGAATGCTGAACTGAAGTCTATGAACAGCATTCTGACGTATGAGTCTTTTTTGTCCAGATGTGTGAGTACTGAGTGGAGGACAGTGGCCATGGCATCATCGGTTGAGCGGTTGGACCGATATGCAAACTGGAAGGGGTCCAGGGAGGGGGGGAGTGCAGACTTGATGAGTGCATGACTAACCGTTCATAGCACTTCATGAGAATAGGGGTAAGTGCAACTGGATGGTAGTCATTGAAGCAGGATGGAGACGACTTATTTGGGACTGGAATGATGGTGGTAGCTTTGAAGCATGTGGGGACAACAGCCTGATTTAGTGAGATGTTGAAAATGTCTGTGAAGACATCAGTGAGTTCCACTGCACAGTCTCTCAGTACACGACCAGGAATGTTGTCATGACCCGGAGCTTTGCGTGCATTGATCCTGCTGAGGGATCACCTGGGGGGTGGGACCTTCTGTGCAGTGGTGCTGTTTTGTTCCTCAAAGCGAGCGAATAAGACGTTCATCTCGTTCAGCAGGGAGATGGTGCTGTCACTGGTCCGCAGTGGGGGCTTGTAGTCCGTAACTCTAGGAAGACATGTAGGCCTACATCAGGGGTGTCCAAACCTGCTCCTGGAGGACCAGTGTCCTGTAGAGTTCA